TACAGTATGGGAAATAAAAAGTCGGTTAGTTCAGTTTTTCCATGTCTGGCTTGTCAGGTTTGTGTTACAGTATGGGAAAATAAAAGGTCGGTTAGTTCAGCTCTTTCATGTCTGGCTTGGCGGGTTTGTGTTACGGTATGGGAAAAATAAAAATTTGGTTAGTTCAATTATTTCATGTCTAGGGGCTGGTGGCTTGTTTTACAGCGTCGGTGCCACTCGACGCCAACCTATTCAAATTTTGCGAACAGGGTGAGGGAGGGGGGGGGGTACAACAGTTGTTGCCTGCCTTCGTCATGTGGCCATTGACCAAGCATCCCTTTCGGTACACAGCAAGCGCGTTTCCTGCCCCCTCGTAGAGACGCGGTCAACATTTGGACGTTATTCTCATATTGTTTCCGTATCCGGGAAAAAACCAAGAATTACTCTTTGAACCCTTCTCTCGCGATTACTGCTATGCCAAGTACGGCAGGAGCGAAGGTGGCCCAATTAATGAAAAAATGATAATAAATAGTAGCTCCAGTGTAACGTCCTCGTGTGTGACCCCGGCTGATTTGCCGAACTATACCCGGAGAGATGTGTAGACTGGCGCCAGAAGAAATGGGGCAAACACATACACACTCCGCTCTTCTTGCCGCCTTTCTTCCTGACGTCTCGTTGCCACGTATTTCGACGGACGGCACAGCAGTGCTACATACTCCGGTAGGTGTTTAGACAGCGGTGGGCGGCACACCACACCAGACCGCCCGTGAACAATTCCCCGATGCCTGGAATCATCTTGGTAGCACTCAACGCAGGGTAGTGTTCAAAATAAAGGACCCCCCCCCATCCCATCCGAGAACGAATTCGTGAGGTCGCCGAATTTTATTGCAGTGAAGGGTCATGAACCCCAAGAAACTTTCGATACTCGAAACGCCCATCAGAAGCGTTGCGATACACGATAAAAAACCAACTACATCTCAGTACACTGTCGTCGTCTACACCGACTATTAATAGTACGCAATATAATACCATTGGTATGGTGATCGTTTCAACCGAAAAGGTGCCAGGAGACCCGGCCGAGCTGCACCAGCTCATGTTCAAGAAAAACCTCACGTCTAGCAAGGACACAAGCGCCTTCAAGAAGCCAAAGCGAAAGGTGGACGACGGCAGCGCCAAGCGGGAGCGACGGCGACTCAAGCGGTTGGCCAAGAGGCAAAAGACGGCCAGGTATGCCTGGTGTCGCAGACTGCAGCGAGCCGCCCGACCAAGTAGGGTTGGTTTTGGATGACTCAGACCGCTGTCGTCTTTGCGGCGTGATGCGGGGCTGTTCTTGTCGTCCCTTGTCATCTCACGACAGCGCCTGATCCAACCAAGCTGTAACCAGATGTTGAATCATCCGTGTGTACTGCTGTAGTTTTTGGAGCCAACTATCACGTCATCCTCCTGATTGCGAACAGCTGTGACCAGCTCTTTTGATGTGGCCAAAGCTCAGCTCGTCGACAGGAAGGTGCCAGAATTCGCTTTTGTACTCAAAGACAACAGCAACAAACCTGGGAGTACAATAAGGTTAATGACAACAGCGAGGGGACGATTCTTGCGGTCTGCCCCCCCCCCCCAGAAAATAAATTAAGTCATACGTAGCTGTCATCCGTACCCCAGGAAGTAAGCACAAAATGCCCAACACCCTTAGCAGGATGCAGCTCACCCTTCATGCGACTCGCCAAATACCTCACGGCGCTTCGCGCTTGGTGATGTGAGAGCCTGGTCCGGTGAGAACCCGGCGTGCTCCGTCCCGGCTTTGTAGGGATGCGAGGGCAATGGTCAAACGACTACCGCATGCACGAATATGAATACACCCCCCCCCCCCCCCCCCCAAAGGGAACAGTAAATTTTTGGGCCCCCCCCCGGCCAACCCCTCCTTTTTGTCCGCGAAAAATTCACGGGGCTTTCCCCTTGGGGGAG